ACACTAGATGCACCAGAACACCAGGTGGAGATAGTAACCAGGACCCAACATGTACACCACCTCACATCAATACCACTTCAGTCTAGGATGAACATCAACACTAGATGCACCAGATCACCAGGTAGAGATAGTAACCAGGACCACATCAATACCATTTAAGTCTAGGATGAATATCGTACGGTAGAAGCACTTTTTTACACACATTTGATTCATTAGCATTTCCTATATGAGTCCCACCCAAGACTCTAAAGGGTTGAACTTCAGGCCACAGGAAGCCCAAGCTAACGTAAGAGATGGATGTATACACTCAATTGAAGAATCGTTGTCGGGTTCAGAAAAATAGAACATAGAAGCTGAGACCGAAATGGCACATGGGAAATGACATAATTATATTATAATTTATTCATTTGCGCCATCCATGCAGTCAGTTTAGAATGCCAAACAAGTATTAAAAACAGTAGATGATGCCACGGGTCGCCGGTCACAGCATGCATCTAATTAACGTACTTCCCATGTGCCATTTCGGTCTCAGCTCCTATGTTCTATGTTTCTGAACCCGACAACGATTCTTCAATAAGCCTGAAGCGAGATGACGTTTTACGCTTCAGGTTTATTTGAGTGTATTATGAGATAAGATTTATCTCATTTGTAGTCGTCATTAGTGTCAAAAATAGTCAATCAAAGTCAAGGTATCGAGGAATGATTAAAGAGCCCTTGTTATCTACTGTATGCTTTTACTGACTCAATCTTTTGAGTAATTCTTTATTTGATGACGTAATTTGGTCACGTGATCACAACTCGTTAAGTCCAGCCCAAGCGAATTTAAATACAAATTTAAGAAGAAAAGAATATAAATGAAATGAAAAATAATTGAAGGATTGATTAAAATTGTACAAGGAGTAAAAATGAGCCATCGAAACTACAACAAAGTCAAGCATATCTGAGGAGAAGGTAAAAAAAAACTACTCCAGTTTCGAATAGACCCTTTCACGATTTCCAACGCCATATTGCTTGGGGGGCAAGTTTACTAAGAAGCGACTGGGAAAGAGATACGTTTTTCGTTATATTTCCATTCTGAGGTAAATTTTTGATACCAAACCTTGTCTGTAGACGGAGAATCCTCTGCGTTCAATTTGCGCTGTTTTTGAGCCGATGGAGCCAGCATAACACTGGTTCTCAGAGAGACGGAGGCTTTGGGGTTTGCGAGTTTTGCGACTAAGGCTCGATCATACTGGTTCAATTTGACGGTAAAAAAATCTTGCCTCGACAAGAATGACTCGATCAGCTCAAAAACGTCAAAAAGCATTGAACAGAGGATTTTCCGTCTACAGAAAACGTTTGATCTCGAAAATTTACCTCAGAATGGAAATATAACGAAAAATGTATCTCTTTCCCCGTCGCTTCTTAGTAATCTTGCGCCCCCCCCCCCTCCCCAAAGCAATATGGCGTCGGAAACCGTGAAAGGGTCTATTCTCTGTTGTATCGGGTTAGCCTCGATTTCGTATGGAATTTTATCATATGACCCGTACGGCCCTGCTCGCGCGCTCTAATAAAACCATTGGAAAAAGTCACGTGATGGGGGCCGGACGGGTTGACATAAGCGGGCCGGAAAAACCCGTCCGGCCCTGCTCGAATCCGCGCGCTTTCTTTTTCTTAATTATTTTTATTTTCGTGAGGCTCATATGATAAAATGCTTATTGACTGAGTCAGGTCGGGCCGTACGAGAAAATATTTGGCTCTCGGTCATTTGTACGGACCTCGCTGCGCTCGGTCCGTACGACATGACCTCGAGCCAAATATTTTCCCGTACGGCCCTCCCACTCAGTCAATAAGTACATAATATTGAATATTCATTTGTTCCAGTGAAGGTTCATGGAGTTTCAAAGTGTTTTTATTGTTGAAGTTATACATTATTTACTTTATTGTTGGTATTTGTGAATATCTGTACACTTATAAGACTAATTAACCCTTAGTAAACGAGTCTGCAATCAATGGGCACAGCGGTATTTGACTAATTCGAAAACGGTCGTCTGTTGTCATATTCGGTTGGCCCGATGTCGGAGGGGTGGGGATGGGTAACCCAGTACTTGCTACATCTGGATATGAATTTCAAACTCAAATAGCAGAAATGGAGAGGGGGAACTTTGTATCGATCGTACCTAACAATAATAAATGGGATCCCTATTTTGAAGCATTGTTTTGACCTCGTGCTTAACTCACAGTTGAATCATTTAGCACTGTTTACACTTACAGCCAGTAAACAGCGCTTAAAGGATTATTTGATATACCCAAGACTCCACACCGCATCTAGCTTTAAACTGATACCTCTAATTCTTAATTAACTTGACCGAATAATACTTTAATCTTATTGTTGTCATTGGGAAATCTCGTTCAGACACCAAGGCGCCGTGAACGATTTTCACACCTTTAAATCAGATAAAATAATGATTACATGTAAAAATCAAATTAAGAAAAGATTACCTAATTAAGTTCGGGTGTAATAAATTGACACAAAAAAGTTTAGAAAGTTTTTCTTTCTATTTCTTTCTAAAATTGTGAATTTGTATGGCTTTTAAGCAGTATTTATATTGGACTTTAGTATATGTCTGTCAAAAATTATTTAAATATAAAAATAAAATGCTTGTGGCATGTAGATTATGTTTGAAATCAAAACATAAAAAATAGAGGAAAAATTTAAAAAAAAAAAAAAAAAAAAAAAGTTTTTTTTACCCCTATAATGTTGAACCCTTTGTTGCTGGTTACCAGGCCGGTTCTCATTATGGGTGATCGAAGAGAGGAAGCATGGATGGCGTTCGCTGCTATCGTACCGCCTCCGCACCAATGCAAATCCGGTTTCGATTCGAGCTTGCAGTGTGATCATTAGTACGGTTGCTCCTTTTTTTCCTCTCCCGTGCTTGGAGGGTGTTTTCCCGCGTTCTCCTGTTTTGTCCTCCATCCTCGAATCTCAGTCTAGCCCTTTGGTCATCCTGCTGATCGGGCGGGAGATTGAGCAAAATTATGCATACCCCTTGCGCCTTCAAAGTAAAATAAATTGCATTTACAAAACTCAGGATTGACGCTCGTTGTTGTCAGCTGATGATAACAAGAAGAAGAAGAAAGAATCACACTTTTTGATTTATCATAGATAATATAGATTGCTAAGGTCTTTCATTGTTGCCAGACCCGCCTAGAAGTAGCTTTAAATTGTATACTCTCATAGAGTTGACTTTCTTCATTCCCCCCCCCCCTCCCCCCCATTATTTCTTTCCTGAACTCACTCAAGATGCGAGTAATGGAACCTTGGTGTTTCTATCACTGAGTCAACAAGGGACATCAATGTTACAATAGAACTCGAGAGAATCGGCGGCAAGATAATTCGTCAATGAATAAAGCGCACTACTACGCAATTATATGCGAGAACATGAGCGAATAGCCACCCCAAATCCATTAGACAGCTCTTGCTTTACCGTTGATGGGACTCATATCGGTTGGGTTGGCTCGGCCAGGCTAGGGTTGCCGGCGGAAAATGCTATGGTATATGGTGTCCACGATGATTGATTGCGCGGTTATTGCAATGTTTGGTCACTTTCGCCCTTGTTAAAGATTGAAAACTAACAATTGAAGTGCCATATGTGAGATCCCTTAGAACTGTGATGTGATTGGATGAGACTATACGTAGAGCCCGCCCGATCGATCAAATGGCAAAATAGATTTGAACTTTTGTCAGGTTAAAAAATAACTCTTGATCGAGATGATTTATGATCCTTGATTGGAATGGCGGGGCTAAAATGATATCAATGAAACAATGAACCAATCAGTATGACGGAGGAAGCCCATCTGATGTTTCACCATCAATCTTGGTCACTGGGATTGTCAGTCAGTGGGTGGTTAGCCAATCAGATTGTAGCTGCTTGACGTAGGTCAACTCATCCCTCCTAATTAGCAACGTCTGAGGGAAAAACTTGGTAATCGGATAAGAGACGTAGAATTCTGAAGGCATCTTAATAGTGCCTCTTCTTCCTGCACAATCTGCTATGCGGCCATCAACTTCAAACATGCAGAACAACGCCATTTCGTTCTCAATAGATTCAATTATATCCAGAAGTGACCCTCCAAAAGAAAAGCACTTGACAGAAATGAAGCCACTAATACCAAGCAATGCTCGAATAGCAGAAGTAAACGATTCGCCTGTGCAAACACTCCACTGTGAAGACCAATGTGTGAACCTCCAAAAAGACGCCGATAAAACGAACGATGGACGCGAGTTTGAAGAAAGCAAATCTACTGAAGATAAAGACGATTCTATTCATTCAGAAAATTCTGACGATTCGCAAACAAGTGAGTCTCTCTTCTTGTATTTGTATTTGTAACTGCCTTTTTCTTGTGTACCACTTACGGTGTAAAAAACCTACAAACTATTTCAAAACTTAATATAGAGGCTTTCAATCTATGTTCAGTATTTGTCACTTTATATTTAGTGTTTTGTTCGATCGTGTATGGATGTTTTTGCTGTTTGATCTACGAGACCACAGTTCACTACCATTAATCATATTTTGACATCTTTAGGACAGCTAAATGAACTCCATTAGAATCGATGTATTCGTTAACTAACTCCCATCTAAAAAGGAATCTTTACGATAATCATATTCTCTTATGATGGTTTATTCTCTTTAGAATTTGTTTTAATATCATTTAGAAATATTATGACTATGTTTTGACAGGCTTGAAAGAAAACCAAGATACGGCAATGACAGAAAACGAAGCCTGTGAATGTGTGGACGAAGATGGTCTCGAAGGATCAAAACATCGACGCAAAAGAACTGCATTTACAAGCCAGCAACTATTGGAACTCGAACGAGAATTTTACAACAAAAAGTATGTGTCATTAGAGGAGAGATCTCATATCGCAACGAACTTAAAATTAACCGAAGTTCAGGTTAAAATATGGTTTCAAAATCGAAGAGCGAAATGGAAACGTGTGAGATCACTAGCCCACCCTGCTCATGGTAATCGTAAGTTGAACACTCCTAAACTGGTTGTTCCAATACCAGTACATGGCAATCGATTCGCTGTTATGAACCAAATGAACGCGTCTTGAACTGGACAAACAGTGGTAGTATTTTATGTACATATTTGATCAATGGATAGAGAATTATTTTACAAAAGATTGGTTGCAACAATCTCAATCAAGAGCTCTCCTCCTTGCTTGTGTGATGAGAATGGTTCTTGTACAACATGCCTATAAATTGAACTCTCATATCGAATCATTGTTTATAAAAATAGTTTGGTTTCCAATTTTATGGAGCTTATTTCAGTTAATGAACTTGGTTGGAAAATGTGTACCAAGAATCGATGAAAATATTCTAATAAATCAACTCGGTTGCTTAGAGTTTTCAAGTTGCAATCGATAGTAAATCTGAGTGAGTTTACGAGCTTAGTAAGCAATAGGCTTGAAGTTTTCAAGCTTCGTTCATTCTTAAAGCCACTAATCCCTATTTAGGACACTTTGAATGTTGTGCTCAGCATTTTTGGACTTCTCTCTTCCATTATAGCTTTTGTATTTTGTGCGCAAGCACCTTCGAGCAGTTCTTTGAATTCTCTAACTACATCATAGTTTACAAACAATGCTGGACTCAGTTTAGGTATTTTCTCTGGTTTCTATGAACGTTTTGCCGTCAACTTTCACACTCTTTCGGTGCCTGTTCGTCTGTGTTTACAGCCATTTGAGAAGTTTGTGTGATTAAAACGTGTTAGAGTGTGAAAACGACTTGTTATCCTCTTCCTTTGATAAGCAAGCGCGGCGTTCTCCTTTACTAAGATTTTTGTAGTCCTGCATTCAACAAACTTTGATAACAATTATGCATTACGACAAGTTGTAAATTAATTCCGTAATCAAGATAAAATGATTAATATAATGGATCTTTTGGATTTATTTTTTCTTTTTTACAATAATTAAGCTTCGTTCAAAACTGATTCAGTAACAAAGCAACAGTTTACTAAAACTACATCAGGTTTGCGCTGTGTTTCTATGCAACGTTTCATACCGAGTTTGGCGTTGTATTCCATGAATTGTTTTACTCTTTTATCCCTCATAGTTGTAGCTTATTTTTCTGGGTTTTACTTAAGACTCACATACATTTTCTCTACGAGCTATTTCATGACAAGCTAGAATTTTGAACAACATTTGTGTATCTCTACATTTCGTCTTCTTACATTTCCTCCTTTTGAATAGCCAGTTTTAATTTTTTGACTTATCAAAATAGTCTATATAATACTATTCTCGATGTTTGTTGGTAAAGGAAGTCAAACGCACAGTGGCAACACAGAAAAATAGCCATTCATATAGTGGGTTGTTATTGTTTGTGGCAGTAAGCATGAACCCTGAGAAGACTCAAGTGTCAAGGATATCATTTTTGTGTCACCAAAATTATTTTTTATTATAAATTTATTTGAAGTTAGTTCCTGGAAAGAACTCGAAATCAAGAACCAATTTCATTACTCGATCTGCTAACTGGGTTGTGAAATACTTTTTTGCATAAAAACATGCGTAAAAAAGAGCCGCATTAGAAACTATAGGTTAGTATTAGAGAAAAAATGTCGAAAAATACCACGGGAAAGAAGATTGTTTAGTTTGTCAAAACTCCTGTTTCGATTGGACTATACTTAGAATCGAAGTTTTTATCTATAAGAAGTTACTTGGAGTGGAGATTAATGTTCATATTTCTCTGGGAAGATAGATTCGAATTATAATATAATATACTCAAACATTTTGTTTTGAAATCTTGATTTATAAACGTTAAGTCAATTGTCAAAGTTTTAGACAAAAATGAATACACGGTTCTTTAAATTTAAATGAATAGTTCTTCACCCTCTGTTACAAAACTAGCTTGAAATTCGTTCTAGTGTGAACACAGAAAAGTATGGTTTTATGGCAGAGACAAGAATAGCTGGCTTGAATAAAAAACAGCTTGCCTCACCATCCCACCTCATTAATGACTTAATTCAATTATAGCTATATCCTTTTAGCTCAGTTCTGATAACACAAAAGACCTACCATAATTTGAATTGTTTTTGTGTTGTATTTTGAAACAGTAAAAGTGAGAACCCAATTGCTTTTTTAGAGAATCCAATTCACTGTAAAAATAGTTTTCTCGAGAAGCCATTAAAGTGTTGAAGGAAACCATTAAAGTGCACATGCATTCCATAGATTCAAACAATAGAGGCAGTAAGTGTTTTTCAATACAAGTTCAGTTATGAACTGATATCAAAAGTGCTACTACGACGAAAATCGCTCAAACTTGGATTCAGCTGAAACTTCCTAAAAATACTCTTTAAAGGTCCAATAATCACTGTATGAAGTGTTTTCTCGATATTCAGGACGAAAGTATGATATTTTTACGATTATTTTTTGGAGTCTGTGACCTCATACACTCAACATCGAACATCGCTCCATACATTCTTTGTAGTTTATGATCAAAATATCAGTAGTAAAGGGAGAAAGAAATACCCAAACTCCCCAAAATATAAATTATAGTCACAAGTAATGTGAAATAAGCACATTAGCCACCCTTTGGGCTTCATAGGAATAAAATAAATTAAGGATTTATATACAAAGAAATGTATGGAGCGATGTTCGATGTTGAGTGTATGAGGTCACAGACTCCAAAAAATAATCGTAAAAATATCATACTTTCGTCCTGAATATCGAGAAAACACTTCATACAGTGATTATTGGACCTTTAGAGTATTTTTAGGAAGTTTCAGCTGAATCCAAGTTTGAGCGATTTTCGTCGTAGTAGCACTTTAAATAAAAGATTAAATATCACACCATTCAAAACACAGTTAATCGTTTTAATGCAGTTTCAGTTACGATTGGCTTCAACTATAGTTATTAAAAAAATCCAATTCACTGTCCAAATATTTTTACCGGGAAGCCATTGAAGTGTCTAGAAGAAAAAAACCCATTAAAGTGCACAAGCATTTCATAGATTCAAAAGGCAGCAAGTGTTTTTCAATACGATAAATAGTCATTTAAAAAAATCCAAATCACTACCAAAATAGTTTTACTATTAAGAAGCCATTGAAGTTTTCTRAGAAACCATGCATTTAAGTGCACACATGCCATGCATTTCATACGATTCGAAAGCCAGTTAAGTGTTTTGAACTGCAATTTCGTATAAGAAAGTTGGGAATAATCATTTCAATGTAACTCTTTGATTTCATGATATTATGGGGATTAAAAGTTTTTCGTAAACTAATCGTAATAGATTTGATCATGTTTAACATTAGTTTTGACACTAATTTTGACACGAATCTTATCGCCTTTCCCCAGAGGAGACGGTGCTCAAAGACATGCTTTCCTATTGGTCGATTTTCGGATTAAATGAACCACAAATCCGATTCTTCTGTCATATTTTTGACTTATCTTAATTTCTGTATCTTTGAAGTTGTACTTCTTGTGAAAGTCATTGAAGTTTACAAAAATGCTCTGGATTAGTTATTATCTTTCGTTTGAATTGTTTCTAGTTTGGTGGACTAATTAGATACAATTACACCCACACCAATTTACTGTTTCTTTGGCCATCTGAAAAAATCTTTGAAGACATTCGTTAGGGCCATTCCTCCTGCTGCCTATATAGGCTGTTATACCATGGCCACGTACRCAGTTCAGTCAAAAAAGTGAAAACATGAATATCTCAAACATCTTAAAGTACAGTAAAGGTATTGCAGAAAGTGACCAATAGACTACGAGACGCCAGTATTCCTGCCTTGAAAGCTTTTCACACTTTGGGCGACAGTGTGAAAGTATTTCACGCATTTGTCAGGCTTGTCGGCATTTTCTCCACAGTTTGATATCATCTTTAAACTGAGAAACATTGTCTTAAATAACATTATAAGCTGAAGATCAGTGTAATAGGGTGGTCCCTGTCTGGTCTTGCTCGTTCTTATGAATGAGAAAGCCATGGATTATGACTGGGATTTCATGGTGTTTTAAATTGCCTTTAAGGTAGTACCGGATCTTCAAAATTTTTCAATGAATTTTTTTTTTTTTTTAATTCTGTCATTTGAAGTTCATTGTTAGGGTATTCAAATAATGACACGTGGTCTGATAATGGGGAAACAATAAACTCAAGCCAAAATCCCAGTATTCCAAGTCCCATCTTCTTGAATTATACAAATACTGATAAAAAAGATAATCCCGATACTTTTGAAAACCACTTGAAAAGAAATAACTCTTTCATGGTTGTAAGGCACCTCAAGCAGGACGACAATAACATAATAGCCAAGGATAATAACAGATGTTAAAAACCATCCACGCCCTATTTCTATTGTTCGATTTCGGGTTTGAATTTCGATGGAAAACCTGTTTTGAATTCAGCATTGATACTAACAGGGGAGAGCGGGGCTGAATTCAAAACCCGGGACAGGTTTTCCATCGAAATTCAAACCGTCCATCAAACATTAAAAATAGGGCTTGGTTGTTTTTCAAACCAGTTCAAACGCACGTGCTCGGGTTTGCATTGAAATTCAAGACCTCGGACCTCTGGCCTAGCATTTTAACCCTCATATGTTTATATAATGGCCAAGATTTGGAGCTAAACAATTCCCTGTAAAATAAAAGACCCTAACCCAGAATACAACAAAGCTTACTACATCAAGAAAGTCCTGCGGAAAAATGCATTACCAGCTAACACACTTTGTCCAAGGTAGGTTGGAAAGCACAGGCATTAAATCCAGGGTTTTGAAAAAGGTTAATTTGGGTCAAATTATGAAAAAAAAAGAAGAAAAAAAAGAAAAAGAAAGAAAGCAATTGCATCATAGTTCTTAATAGAAATTGGCGTTCTGTTAAAGTAACTCTTTTCATGTAGTTCTTCCCAAAACCTTGATTTACAAAAATAGTGTGCCTATTCTCGCGGGTAAAATCTTTCCCTAAACATACCATTAGCCTGGGTATCTGGAAAAAGGGAGGGAAATTTTTTTCCCGTTACCCCCCGGTCATCTATGCTTTCATCCTCGATGTATTTTAACATAAAGCAAATATTCAATTTAACTTTCATAAGACATAGTTTATAATACGCATAGCACTGAACGATCCGATYCGATCCGAATGTCTCGCTTTCGAACGAAATCCGCTGTACATACTAAGTAAGCAATTTCTGAATTTTAATAGTAAAACCGCTGTTCAAGATATTTCGTGACCGAATTTCGAAACTGGGTTTAATATTTACATTCGATCCGAATCTCTCGATTTGCAATAAAATCATTATTCTAGGTGGGGAAAAATGACAGTAATAAGAGTAAAGTATTTGAGCTTAACCCTTTAGGGTTTGTTTTTACTTATTATAGCGAAGGACGGAATCGGAGCCGGAAAAATTTTGTGACGCAGTGAAAATCAGAAAAATGAATTGGAATCAGAATTAAGCGTGTGGGGAATTGGGATCAAAAGGATTCCTTTTTCTTGGCTTGTGCTTTTGCTTATGACAAACGGTTTTCACTTGCCATTTCAAGCATAAGCTACTTTCGACTCTCATTCCATTGAAACTATAGGCTTTAGTTTAAGGTTGATAAATGAGTTTTTGGGATATTTGAATTAATTGGATTTTATTAGGAATTAGATCCTGTAGTATAGTATTATGGCTGGCTTATTCGTCGTCTGCTCCTGCAGCCTTCAGGAAAGCCTGCTGTTTCTGCCGTACGCGGTCTTTGCGTTGTTGATTTGACATCTTCTTGCGATTGAACCTGAAACACGGGGGGAAGAATCAAGTCATCAAATATTGAATTGGATGCAGACCCACATCCCAGTGAAAAAACCGGGTTAAGTAAGCATTGCAGTGCATTGTGGGGCTGTCCCCTAAAATGTCCCACAATACATTGCAATGCCGATTAGACCCAGTTTTTCCTCAACCTCAGAATGGCTAATAGTTTCATGTTGTCGTGGGGGATAAGGTGGAAATATTACACCCCAAAAAAGAAACCCCACTTGATTTTGAACCCAAAACAACGTTTGAGTTGGATAATCAGTTGCAAATCTGCTTGAAAGGTGATGTTATTTGAAACTCAATAATAATAAACTTTATCATGGGTGGCATGCTCTGCCAAGGCGCTATCTCTCACCACTGTGCACTTTATGTTTAGGAAACCAGATCCGATGCTAGACTGAAATACATATGTGACTAGAGATTGTTTTTTGTGTCCATCTTTCCCTTGCAAGGGTTTTTCTCCATCGATAACAATACTCACCTCTTATGCTTGAAGTCTTTCGTCTCCTTCGTCTTGGCGGCCGGATCAGCACGTATAGCAGCATGAGTACTCTTATACATCGCTTCAACCTAACAACACAATCATGGTGTAAATACAGTCAAGCAACATTAAGTTGTTTGCAGCCTCTAACCCACAACTCTTGTCTAGAGACTATCAAGGTACTTTCAAGTCTAGTTTTTGTATACCAATGGTCAGATCTCAGAAACAGTTTGTCTAGAATAGCAATATTACATGTGTCATAAGTCTTTGTTATTCACAAGTTTACCAGAGATCAATTAGGATGGTCACAAAAGCAACTTGTGATTAACGTTTTGAAGTATCGCTATAATACACAATGCCATGGTTGGGGCAGGAGGCCAAACCTGGTATTTGAACTCTATACTGTAGCTTTACTTACACTATCAGCATTAACGCCCAGTTTGATGTACTTAGAGAACTGTCTCTTGTAGCCTTCATCATCCTCTTCTGCTAACAGACGCATGTAGTCGGCAACATGTTGACCAAAGATGTGCTTGCGATGAACCTCGGCATTAAACTCCTTAGATTCAGAGTCATAGCCTGGGAAACGCTTCATGCTGAATACAACATTTTAAAACAACAGTTTTATTGCACCCTGAAACACCTCCATTTAACATTAATCCTCATCATAATACTATTCATGTGTGATTATCATTATCATAATCACCATGCATCATCATCACCATGCACCATCATCATCATGCAACATCATCACCATACACCTTTGTCATAATGGCAGATAATGGCATATAAAATGATCGGAGACTGGTGACTAGTCACACGAAAACGAGGCGAGAAAGGCCTAGCTTCATAACTATCATGGCGTCTAGCACGAGTAATACTACAAACTTTACTGATATTTTAACCGAAAACGATATTCCTGGGGCTTCCCTCGAGGGAAGAAATATAACTGAATTAAAGATTGCCGATCTGAGATTTTGGTTGAAGTGTCGAGGAGATCCAGCAAAAGGTTTAAAAACAAAAGCGGAGCTTGTTAAGAGGTACGTAGCAGCTTGAAAGTTTTGACAAACATGCAAGTTTCGTAAATG